GAAGTAAAAAGAAGGAAGGAGCTGGGCAGGAGATAAACCCTTCTAGGCCACGCCCCAAGGACACTTTTCCAACCAGACCCTGCCTTCTAACAGCAAGGCAGTGCTAAGCCAGCCTAAGGGCTTCCAATCAGCTTCCAAAGAGCCCACCTTTGGGCCCTTGGGACTTTGGGGAGACCTTTAGCTGTGAACCATAACATTGTCAGAGGAACCTTAGCATAAAGGGACCTCCAAAGGATCTGGGACTTTGAATTTTAAAGACTGGGGAGAAGGCATATTTGAAGTGTTTTCTTTGCACTGAGGAGAGCAAATGTAATACTTGCTTCTCTTCAGAATGATTTCACCAGAAGTTTTGACTTCAGTAGGAGAGGGCAGTATCGGGGTGTATAGTCTCATGGATCAGCTGGTTGTTGGAAAGTTTCAGTGGGATATTGGTGTCCTTTGTGCCTGTGGAAGAAGTAGAGGAAGTCATAGACAGGAAAACTTGGCAGTGTCGCCAGTTCTGAGTCTCTGAGCTCCTAGCTCTCTTCCCTCTGGTTAAGAAAGTGATTTGTGGATCTCATCGGCAGTGATCAGCATGTTGATCATGGAAAGATAGTGGATCTGAAGGAAGTTCAAGGCTGTGACTTAAAGGCTAAGGTCGACATGAATCACACCAGGGATCTCTGGTGATTTGGCAGGAAATTAAGGCTCATCTAGACTCGGGTGTCCTCACGTGGAGCTTTGGGTCTATGGGTAGATTTATGTGGCATCCAAACTCCAAAATGGTATGCAAGAAAAGGGACCTGGAGAGCTCATTAAGAGTGTTTTTCTGAGGCTGGGTACATAGCTCAGTGGCTCAAGCACCTGCTTGGCAAAAGCAAAGTTGATTCTTACTACCCAAAAAAAAAAAAAAAAAAAAAAAAAAAAAAAAAATTCTTTTGATTTTTATTGGTGGTGTGGTAGCCACTTCCCACTTCCATTCTATTGATGGGCCCCAGGTGGATATTATCATCTGGGCCACTGTTTACTGTTTTATAAAGCACTGGGCAGATTATTCCACAGATGTCTCAGGAATGGTTTTGTCATCTGTGAGCTCCAGCAGAGTTGTAAAGATGAAAGATTATTTCTCTAATTTATTCCACTTAGCGTTATGGTCAAGGTGCATCCATTTCCTACAAATGACTCAGATTGATCCCTCTTTAAGGCAGAGTAGGCTGCATGAGGATAGAACCAGGAGGAAAGGGGCCTTGTTCTGTCATGGTCTTTGTGACCCCTGCACTCACTTCCAGAGTCCTCTGATGAGAACTTGGCTGTGCATTAGTAAGGTAGATTGGAAAGCGGGGGAGGCAAAAGAGTGGCTCCTTTTGGAAGAATGGTTTTCACAATTCTGTAAATAAAAGCTGGAAGACCCAGTTTGGGTTCTTTCCAGAAACTTTATTCTCAAGCTGTTTATTTTAGGTTTCTTTTCCAAGTTTATATTTGGAAAAAGACAGACAAGTGCCCTCAATGACTTCTGTTTTCTGGCAGGAAGATCTCTGACTTGGACTGGCATGGGGCGGAGAGCTAACAGCTTTCCAGAGGGTCCTATGTTCCTACAGCAGGTGGCATGCCGGGTGTCCTGGGATAACATGCAGGACAGGGCTTTTGGGCTTCCCTCAGATGCCTCCTGTTCATTTACAGGATGAAAATTACAGCTAGAAACCCCCAACTTGACTGGCATGAAGAGATCTCTACTGACCTAACCAGGGGTGGCTTGAATATTGGAAAGTAATAATAGGGCTGTGGATCAAAGTGCTTCAAATTAAAGCACTGAAATAACAAGAACAATGATAACAACAGCAAGCAATAATCTTGCTGATCACCTTGGGCTGGCTAGAGTTCAACACATCATTTTAAAGATTTATACAGGGTTTTTGTTGTTGTTGTGGTTGGTTGGTTTGTTGATCAGTTCTGGGGCTTGAACCCAGTAGCTTTCATGGTGCTAAATCCCCAGCCCTTTGTTTAAGTTTTACTTTGAGACAGGGCCTTGATGTATTGCCTAGGCTGGCCTTGAGTTTTTAGTCTTCCTGTCTTAGTCTTCTGTGTAGCTATGTTTGCAGGTGTGTGCTGCCACACCTTTCCTGAGGAAGAATTTTTGAAAAGAGAAAGAAACTAAGTTAACCTAACTGAGTAGTCCGTGGAGAGGCACGGAAGGCAGCTGAGACAGTTCTCTGTCATTTCTTGGTGCTGGAACAGGAACCCGGGTTGTCTGTCTGCCTGTGTGGTTTCCCAGGGCCAGAGTAGCCTGCTGGTGCATACAGAGTGGGTTGGAATCTAGGCTGATCACTGAGTACCACACTAGCCACACAAAAATCATATTATAATAGCCATGTCTTAGTTTTCCTGGGCTAAACAAAAGAACACCCCCCGCCAAAGGCACTTACTGCATGCTGAGTCCTTTCCCCTGGTGCTCAGTTAACATAGCACTGAGCCCCCAGCACTGTTTTGAAGGATACCTTGAGATCCGTGAGGTTTCAGCATTTTTCTACCCTGCGTTTTAATTTTTTTTTTTTTTTGAGACAAGGTTTTACAAAGTAGTTCAAGCTGGCCTTGAGCTCATAGCATTCCCTGTCCAGCTTCCCCAATGCTGGGGATACAGGCATGTACTACCATGCCTGGCTTCCTGCCCTGCTTCTGTGTCTGTATCCTACAACACTATGAAGGAGATGCCACTATACCTCCCACTGGCATCCCTGGGAAGCCTTTGACCCACAAAGCCACAAGCTGGATAGAAAGCTGAGGCCTGGCGCTTGCCCTCCTGCTTCTCCCACTCCGTGGACAGATGCAGTGACCATCGGCTTGGAGCTGAAACAACTGGACTGCTGTGTGGCTGGCAGTTTTGAGATGGTTACAAAATAGCATGTGGCTCCCAGCCCTTCACAGTTCACTACAGGCTCTGGGGTTAGAAATAGAATTGGTTATTGATGTGTCTGTGAATTGGAATTGAAAAATCTCAACGTTGAGTGCTTTTGGTTTTGAGCAGGTAAACAGTTTTAAGATACGAAACACTCACAGCATGGCTGAGGAGAAAACATTTGGGTTTGGGGCCCAGCTCTGCTACTCTCTGGCTGTGTTCCAGGGGAAAGTTACTTGATCTTTTCAAGCCCCGATTTCTGTCAGCATCATGAGAAAGAATGGATGTGTTGAAATCTGGAAAAACTGCATGCGGTCTGCACTCTTCACAAGTGTCACCTGTAGCTGCTGTGGCCATAGTTGCTGCTATTAGTGTGCATCAGAGTCCTGACCATGTCCCCTTCCCCTACTTACAAGTCTCTTGCAGCCGTTCCTGTTACTGAAGGCAAAGGCCCAGCCAGTGTGACTGTGACTTCAAGGATATCAGAGGTCCCCTCCATGATGCCACGTACTGAGAGCTGTGTGCGCTCACCCACTTATGTGCTTGTGTATTTCCGCCTCTATTTCTCTGCCCATGTAATCTCCGACATGCATTTAATCAGCCAGGCACAGTGATGTTCACCTGTCATCCAGCACTCTAGTAGGATGAGGCAGGAGAATGCAACTGAGCCATCCTTGGGCAACTTGGTGATTTAACATACCTGTGTCAAGCTAAAAACTTAAAAAAGAACTGGGGATGTAGCTTGGTACAAAGATGCTGGCTTCAGTTCTCAGCAGTGAAGAGGGAGAGAGGAAATTCATTTAATTTATTTAGAATTCTTAGGCTCCCTTCTACAATGTTTGGTTTTAAGAAGGAAAGACTTGAACATTGAAAGTAATTTTTTCCTGTGTTTGCTAAGTCCACATTAGAATGCTCAAAGATACCCAGATGCTGTGGCAGGCAAAGGCATATTGCTTCCCCAATGAAGTGGATGAACAGACCATCCATGAGTCATAAGGTTGCTCAGACTCCGAGCTATAATCCCCTCACTGTCCCAGTCTTTGAGCCTACACATTGGCATTGGCATGGGCACATGGCTTCAGTTCCCAGAACAAGAGTTGAGGGCTGGAAAGGGCACTCAGTCCGTTTCTCTGTGAGGGAGCCACAGCACGGAGCTCTCTCAGTCTGGTGGGGTTCACATGCAAGTGGACCTGCCTGCATGCATGACTGCTTGCCCCAATTAAAATGATGAAAATGGAAAGATCAGGAGTCCATGTAAAGTTGTTTCATTATATCCTGGCTGGTTTCTTTGCAATAGGCCTGCCCTCATGGTGAGGGGATTGAATGTAACCACAGCAATTATCAGAATTGCTACAGTCCTTCCCCTCAGTTCTGACTCGCATCTGAGCAAGACTCTGGCTTGTCATTTGGTAAAGATCTGTAGGTGATCCTGAGGGCCAACAGGGATGGAGAACGCATTGAGCTGGTGACTCAAGAGTCCAGATTTGAGGTGCTGCTGGGATATGTAAGGACTATGGAACAGATAGCAGTGTGCTTTTTCTGTTCAGACTATGCATGTTGGGTTATATGGAGGGACAAAGACAAATATACCTCAGTCCCTCTTCTCCAAGTATTTGCAGATAGTTCAGTGTAACTCAGAAGTGACACATAGAAGAGGTGCCCAAGAAGAACTTCCTGAGGTACAACAGTGCCTCAAGGGCTCCTAGAGGAGTTGAACAGGAGCCAGGGAGGGTGGCCTGAGGCAGAGGACAATGTGAGCAGAGGCACAAGCAGGCCTTTGCTGCCTGACCCAGGCACCATAGACCACTGCTGTTCCTGTGTTAGGAGAGGTTGCCACATTGGGTTCCCTAGCCCACAGGCTACGTGTTAGTATCTCTTGCTGAGCTTCTAGGAAGAGCTTCAAGTCTTTTTTCCTTCCAGTCACCACACTACTTCCTTGGAACCTGTCACCAGCACAGTGGGCTGCTGTCAGGAGAGCAGTTACTTCCATTCCAGCAGCTTAACATTCTCTGATTTTTATCTGGCTTGTATGTGGCTTTTATTCACAGCTGATTGAGGGGCACCTGGTGGGGCAGAGCTGGGGATGGAGTGCTCCATTTGCTAATAGCCTTTCCACTTGCTATTGCAGCACATGTGGAGAACGAGGAGCAGTATACCCAGGCGCTGGAGAAGTTTGGCGGCAACTGTGTGTGCAGAGATGACCCTGATTTAGGGAGCGCATTCCTAAAGTTCTCAGTGTTCACCAAGGAGTTGACGGCGCTATTCAAAAACCTGGTCAGTGGGTGTGTGTGTGTGTGTGTGTGTGTGTGTGTGTGTGTGTGTGGTGTTACACCATGTGAGATGCCTCTGTCATTGCCTTTCTCAGGAGAAATGAATACAATTTGTTTGATAAAATATGAAAACATTTCTCAGATCCTATGGGTCTTAAGAGAATATTTTCTGTACATATGAGGTTAATTTGGAGTAAAGTTGAAAACTGTAATGTTTGCTTTAACAAGACTTTCAAAATTCAACCTGACATTTTAAATATGCCCAGCTGCAGGACATAATGGGTAGATCCATTCATCTTTGTAAGAACCTCTGGTTTTGGATTTTAATAGTTTCTAAACTATAGAATAGTCTCTGTCCCTGGTAATTATAGCAGGCATTCATAATGATAATATTTAGTATGTGTGTTCCAGACCCATCTTACACAGCCAGGTAACCTATCATCAAAGTACAGAATTACTATGAATATTTAAAGGCATTTTATGCTCCCAAATATAGAGGCTAAAAAAGCAGGGCTGAGAGGAATGTCTTGACTCTGAGTGAGTGGAAGTGCGGGCGAGTACAGGCTGTGTGCAGGCTGCTTGGTAACGGGGTTGGGGTGGGTGAATTGAGCCTTTCTTGAGCTTGGCGGCCCTGTGCCATCCTTGCCGTGGGAACAGAATTCTGAAGTGAGTAGCCAAGGGCTATTTGTGACCCTTCCCGGGTGGCTTCTTCCCCAAGGGGAGCAGGCCCTAGGGATTGCCCCCACATCTTTCCTGTTTTGCTACCCTGGCTTCTCCAAAAGGTCACAGACTATTGGGTCAGGAACTTAATAATGCTCTCTCTGTAGGTCGCAGACAGCAGCATCTTTTTCATTTCTTCTGTCAGTAAGCTCATAGCAAGTGCAAAACCAGCTCATTCTTGAGCTGGTGATGGTAGTGGGTTTGTGAGTCTGGCCTTAGAAGGGCAGAACTGAGGAAACATAATGTATGATTTAATAATGGGAAGAACAGAGCACAAGATGATTAAGACTCTTGGTCTCTCTCCCTGACTTCAAATATTTGCACTGGAAATGGGAGGGAAGCTGTCACTGTGCTTAAGTTTTTACTTAGATGCATATGAAATCTCTTGGGATTCTGATCAAGCTCATTGTTCTTTGTCCCTTCCCTGAGCCTGCATGCTGGTAGCAGAGTCCTCAGCCCCCATGTTCAGTAGATGTGCATGGTGGGAGTTCGTCACTGAGTCTGAAGAGACTGGAGGATTTTTTTTTCCCCTAAATTGGAGAAACTGCATGGTTCCTAGGGCAGAGGTCTATAGAGGGTGATATGGTGTGGTTCCCTTGTAAAACAGCCTGCTGCCTAATTTCCCAGCCCCTCCCATGCATGTTCCCTTCTATATCAGCTTTGCAGTTGCTGAGACATAATATCTGATACCCACAATTTAAAGGAGGAAGAGAGGTTTAATTTGGATCATGGTTTCAGGGGATTCAGTCATGGTCTATTGGCTCCAGGGCAAGAACATCATGATGGAAGGGTATGGCAGCAGAAGGATACTCAGCTGGGAAATAGAGCAGGGGACAGTGTCACAGAGGAAGGGGCCAGTAGTAGATAGAGACCCCAAGATCACCCTCCATGATACATCCAGAAGTGTGCTGTACCCATCTCTCCTGCTGAACCCCAAAGCCAGTTAAGTTGACCCTCCACCCTTACCATCACAGCTTCTTAGTACCTTACTCTTAAGCACATATGGATGGTGACTGGGACGGAAGAAACCAAAACAAGCAGAAAAAAAAAAAAAAAAAGTTAGAGGAAACAGCAGTACAAAGAGCAGAAGAAAACATTAAAGAAAATTGTATTTGGTCTATTAGAGAAATCAGAACAGACACTATGTCAGAGAATGGCAGACTGTGAATGATTGTTAAAGAATGGAGAAGGCAGGCCTTAATGTAAGAAATATAAAATCAAAAGTGCAACAAGAAGGGTTGGAGTAGAAGAAAACTCTTAGGAAATAGATTAAAACAAAACTAAAAAGGACAGGTAGGAAACATAAAAGCTGAGGAGTGATTCTCCAAAGCCCAGCATGCAGCTGACCGTGTTTCCAGAAGACAGAGGGGACACTGTGGGTGTAGGACACAGCTGCTCTGTGCCTCCAGATGGAGGGTCGCCAGGTGTCCAGCATAGGAGGGAAGAGACTCCCCAGGGCAGCTTGGTAGCAAATTGCCACCCATCCTCAGAGATCCCAGAGAGTGCATAGGGTCCAGACTCAGAACAGCATGGGCTTCCCAGCAGCGGCGCCGGGCACTCTAAGGTGTGAAACAGCTCTGTGGAAGTCCTGCAGAAAGAGAGCCCCCCCCCCCCGACTCAGACCCAGCACACTGAATAGACGTGTAGAACTGAGGATATTTTCAGAGACGCAAGGCTCAAAAGGCTGCCGTCCTTTGTATTATCTTTCCAAAACTCTTGCAGCATGTGCTTTAGTAAAGTGAAGGGGGAAGCCAAGAAAGAGGAATAGAGAGGTGGGAACAGGATTCAGTGCAGAAAGGTGTCAGTACAGGGGCATCCCAGGAGGCTGGCAGAGAGTGTCCCAGCAAGGCTGCGGAAGAAGGCTCAGAGAACAGCTTGCCTTTGACAGGTCAGGGAAGGCCATGCCCTGTCCTTCCACCGCCAGATAGGTGTGTGTATATGTACTGCCTGGACTTACTCATCTGTGAAATGGAGGTAATGCCAGACCTGATTTTGTGTGTTTTACACATTGTTTCATTTAGTCCTTGTCACAGCCCTAAGGTGGGTCGGTGTTCTCTGCTGTGTAGACCAGCTAACCAAGCCCCTGGGTCTAGCCACCTGGCATAGAAGGGCCTCAGTTTGTTCTCAGTTGTCCATGCGAGCAGGTCCTACAGAAAGCAGCCCTTTCTTCGTAAATTTTCTGCAAGAAGAGAAAGTGGGGGGCATCCAGATGTTAGCATTGGCACCTTGCTCATCATGTCATGGTTTTGCCACTTGCAGGACTTTAGAGCTCACTGCAGGTCCAGGTTGCTGTCCTGCTTGCTGCAGAGAGTAGAGAGCTCAGGGCTGTGGTGTGGGAAGCTCAGGTGACCTCCTTCTGAGTGTGAGGTGCACATGGTAGTCACTGATGGGGCCTTACCTAGGTGATGGATGGAATTGGGATTCGGATCCAGGTCTTAAAGTGCCAAACCCATGATGTTTCCACTGTGACATTTAAAGGAGCCAAGTCTCCTTGTCAGATCGTTGGAGGAGAAAAGGACTGAAAAGGAGGCAGTCAAAGGACAGGGAGGTGAGGCCCCTCATCTTGTCATCTAATGGGCAGGGCCAGTGGCTGGGAGTGGGAGTGGATCTGTGAACTTAGCTTTAAGGACCTGTGCGTTACTTTCATGTTGGCTTTTACTTTTTGGAGTTGGAATTTTTGGTCCAAGTTCCAAATGACAAAACTCTTATTTGAGCTCAGATCAACATCTGTTGGGCTTAATGCTGTGCCCTTCCAGTGTAGCAGCCATTAGCTCTAGGAATGTCAAGCAGTGGCTTCAGAGGAGCTGGACCGAGGCTGAACTGATTTCAGGAGAATTTTCCTTTTTTTGGTATTTTGTGCACCCTTCTTACTCCTGTTTTTGGTCACATCTGTTCTATCTCACATTTTCAAAGCCTTTCTGTTGTTTTCCCTTAGGCATTTAACAAACATTCCAGTACTGTATGGCTAAGATTCTTAATCCCACTTCTTGTCCAGAAAGAATAACTCCCACCTGCCTGCTTGAAGGATGTTTCTGAAAAACTGGAACATCTCCAGAAAAGGTCATCTTCGTTTAAAGCAAAATTTTCCTTCTCATGGGATGGTTTTTGGCCTGTGAGTTTGGCCTGCACTCATGCAAGTTACAAGGAGAAACCAGGCAGCTCCAGAAATGTAACGAGTGTGTAACAGAAATGTAACAGTCATAAAGTGAAGCTGGTGTCTTAGGTCTTTCCCTTTTCCCAGACATATGTGCAGATCCTGGAGGGATTTTCCAGGCACTGCTGTGGTGAGCAGTAGCTGGATAATGACAGGCTGCAGTTGAGCACCAGTTCCTGAAAGGTTCATGCAGATCCGTGGTCGCTGTCTTTGACTGGAGAGGAGATAGGAGGGACTCCTGGTCCGTAGAACTTGCACCCTGGCATCAGTTGGAAGCAGAGGTCAGAGGGGCTGGGCTGAGGATGCAGCCACCGTGTGGGATCAAGAGTGGTCTGGGCTGGAGAGTTTCAACTTTATGCTGAAGGGGAGCCTGAATGTCTACCACTAACCAGTGTATTCTGAAATCACCAGAGTTTATCATAAATGACCAGAATTAGAAGACCAGCAGCGAGGAAGGAAGCTAGCAAGGTTCTGTTGGGATGAGCAGTAACTCATGGCTTTGTCATCAGTGTGGAATGTGTCTGGCAGGAGGTGCCCTTACCTAGAGGGAGGTGCTCCATCTCACCTGGCAAAGATGTCCTCCATCTCACCTGGCTGGCTATGTCATGTGCTACAACAGTCCCTTTGTCCTTGTACTGTTTAGCTTCCATAAAGCATGAGCTGATCCTCCACATTTAATGAAGTTGTCTCATCCCTTAATGTAGAGATCTTAGACCAGAAGCCTCACCCAGTACTTGCACAGCTTTTCTTTTTAACTTCTTTTATTGAGAGTGGCTTATGTCTTAAACATGTCCTGATCTTTCTTATTAAATAGGACATTGATCCTAACTCCATCTTTTGGGAGGAAAACATAGGTCTTGTTGGTGGCATCAACGTGTGAACTCTGCAGAAATCACAGGGAACCCCTCTCCTACACCCGAGTTGTGTTTGAAGTATCTGCCCCTAGGTTAGTCGTGGACTTTTGAGCTTTGTGTTGGCAGTAATCTGCCTTTTAATATTCTGATTCCTTTTCTGGCTGAGTGCTGTGTTTATTGCTGTCAGTGCTTCCTTCTAATGTCCATGATGCAGACAAGGTGATGTGGTTTGTTGGACTTTTGGTGAATTAGGAGTCCACAGGGTTTGAGTGAGGA